CTGACCCCAACCTGCTCCTCTTCATCTGGACCAGTCATTTCTGTCCCCACTTTCAAACTTCCCATGCACACTCAAAATTTCAACCACTCTTGAGTGGTCACCCATGACCCCTAAATTGGAAGCCTCTTTCCTGCACGGGAGGAATGCGTCCACTTCCTTACAGTGCCCTCTCTTCTGCTTCTGTGAAACACCACACAAGGTACTGTCTTTGTCCATTCTTTCTACAGTCTCCAAGAGTAGAACATGAACCTTCAGTGGGCAGTGGAGAGCCAGCAGAGTCCTTCTTTAGGCCTAAGCCACTGAGCAGCAGGTTCTCATTAGGTGGAACTGAGAAGGCCTCAGACAGCTGACCCTCCAACTCTGTGGGAAAGACCTACCCATCCCCCAACACCCCCAGCAACCATTTTTCAATGGTAACCACTGCTAATCTTTTGACACGTTTTGTAGAATTTTTCTATGTGTGTTCTTTTACATAGCTGAGATCATACTATATATTTAAGAAAGCTGTTATTTCCCCAGTAAAGATTGCTCATTAGTATTTTTCTATGCTATAAAAACTTCATAATTTTTGGTGACTTTGTAATATTTGTTATAAGTATCATAGTTTACTCAACCATTTTTCAATTAACACTCAGCATTTAGGTTATTTTTAATGCCTCACACGTGTCTTAAACTTAACATGGCCCAAACTAAACACTCAACTGCTATCCCCCAAACTGCTCCTCCTCCAGTTTTCCTCACCCAGTATTTCTCCATGTAAATTATGTGCTCCTGTCCTTTGTTCATTTATTTATCAATTGAGATCTTGGATTTCTTGTTGTTCTTTATACTTATATTAGTGATGAATCTAACATTAATAACAAATAATTAACTCTCCCAATTACCCTATGAGGTGGGAAATGCAATTTGTTCTAATTGTGAGATGAGGAAATTGGGAAACTGGTTAAGTAACTTGTCCCAAGTCAAAGGCTGGAGAGGGCAGCCGAGTCCAGGAGGCCACTCTGGAGCACGTGGCCTAGGCACAGGCTGGGCTGCCTACAGCCCACCAGTTGCACAGGAGCCTTTAGATGCTTGTCAATTTGAACCCTTTATAGCTACTGTCCATACCTGATCTTTCAAATCTATTTTAGGTTTTAAACCTTTATGTGACCAAGTCTACTCTTTCATGTTTGTTTTCTTGGTTTATATATAAAGCTTAGGAAGATGGTCTTTCTCCATGCAGAGATCAGAAAAATACTGAATACTCTAAATATTGCTGGTTTTTAATGGTATGATTTTTTAAAAAGTATTTAGTCATCAATTCTTTTGGAATCCACTTTGGTGTATAATGATTTGAACTGATTTTTCTTCCAAGCATTTATTCAACTAGCCCAGCACCATCTGCTGAATAACGGTTTCTTTCCCCTCAGTGGCATTATTTTGGAGAGAATCCTAAGCTAGACTCCTTTGAAGAAATATCTACAATAATACTGGTTTAAAGGACTCAGCAATCAGAAATTTCCAACAAATGTGAAAAATACTCAATTTCACTCTTAATTAAAGAAAAACAAATTAAAATGCCACCTCTCCCCCATTTGGTTGGCAGACCCAAAAGTTCAATACACAGAATTTCAGAACAAAATGCACGTGACAGAATCGCTACACCGCCCTATGTCCACCAATGTACACCCCACCAGCTGTCTCTAAAAACACCCATTTCCCACAGCCTTGACTACACCGTGGGTTATCATTTTGATGCTTACTGTGATTAGTGAGAAAACAAATGGAATTTCTGGTCTTTCAGTGCTCCTATGGCATCTAATGAGTTACAAATGAATACCTTTTGCTATATTCAACATTTACATTTCCTTTTCTATGAACTACCATTAACCAGACATACAAGTACCAGTGTTCCAGCTTGAAAGTTTTAATCTCCAGAGTTCCCTGAGGTCTTCCATCCATTTCTTTATGTCCTTTTCAAACAAACCTAGACTATTAACTATTGCAGACAGGTCATCTGTCTTACTGCTATTCTGTGCCAAAGGCCTTAGACCTCTTGATGGCACAGAACACTCAGACTATTTGTTAAATAAGTGAATTTATGTGTGCTATAGTAAAAAACTATAAACAACCTGGTGGCAGATTAAATATGACCACAGTTTTTAAAAATCTGTCCTTCCATCAATGGGTGGATACATTTTCCAACCCTTGGGTCTGGGATGACCTTGTGACTTGCCTTGGCCAAAAGACTGTGGCAAAAGTATCTGCTGTTCTGAGACTGCAGCTTCTGCTGTCACTCTTTTGGAACATTTCTGCCATTGAAAGGCAGCCCAGTCCAGACTACTGCACGACGAAAAGCAAAGGTATGGGGGAGAAGCAACTGCAAGATGTGGTGGGGTCACCTTTAAACCATGCAACTTGAGGTGAGCTGAGCTGAGCTACACAACTGTGCCCAGCCCCGTGGACTTATGAACAAATGCATGGTGGCTGTATTAAAGCCCTGAGCTGTGGTTTGTTATACAAAAAAGGTAACTGATGTGAACTTCAATGTCCAGTATGAAACTGGCTAGACACTATGGGGTCATCCCTATAAGTGAACACTGTGTAGCTGCTCTTTATGAATTTATAAGGAAAAACAGGCCCAGTGAAGTTAGGTAGTTTGTCCAAAGTTCACACAGGTAGGGAGCAGCGGAACACAGGAGGTCTGACCACGGAGCTCAAGCTCCTAACACATGATGCTGTATTGCTCACCCCAGCACCGCCAATTCCCCCTTCTCCACTTTCTTTGTTCTATTTATAGTCCATCCCTGCTTCTTCATTTGTTCACCCAACTCCTACACTTCAAACCTACCTGGTTTTTAGTGGTGTTAATTGTTATTTGAATGAACCAATCTCAAAGTCCCTGACCTTAACACCTAAGGAAAATAAGCTTAAAAAAAAAAAAAAGGCTCAAATAATTTGATCCAAATCATGACTAAAAGAGAGTAAGGAAACAAACAGGAGTGAAGCTTGGGAGGTCTGTTTATCATAAGCCTCAATTATGCAGTTTTGTTATGTATACACCTCTTAAAGGCAACAGTTACATAAGATTTAAGGCACATGTTGGGGATACTAGTACATAAGCCAAGCTCATCAGTTAACATGTGTAATGCATGTGAAGCTCTAATTTTAAAACATTCTGCAATGAGAATACAGTGTATAATTATAATTAAATAGTTAAAGCTGTGCACACACTGGTACAACAAAACATTAAAGGTTATTTTAGGATTCTGGTAATTAAAAGTATTTCTTATTCTTTCTATACTTCCAAATTGTCTCCCATAATAATAACATACTATCTTTGTATCAGAGGTTTAAAGGACAGCTCCTTTCATATCCAAAAGAAATTCAATTTTAAATCACCAATTGTTTCTGAACGTTGACTCAGGCCAATACATAAAACAAATTCAAAACCTAAGTAGACAGTTGCTAAAGTTAAAACAAACACACACACGCAGAAGTTAGAAAAAGCTAACTACACAAAAATGTTGTAAAATCATTAAAGATAAGCCAGATCTATGTACTAACACGGAAAGATAACCCAAGACACAATTCTATTAACAGTAACCTTTAAGGAAGAATTATAAAAGAATTTCACCATTTTAGTTGAATATTCCTATGATTTTTGAATTTTTACCAGAATTATTTTAACTTTTATAATAGTTATTTTTTAAAAGTAAGTTTTAGGTAAAAATATGCATATGTATGGAGACAGAAAAAGATATGGAAGGACAAACACCAAGGTGCAGACAAGCTGCTCAGTCCCACTTTCTCTCCCTCTCTAGTTCCCCATTAATTCCCTTCTGCTTTTAAGGACCCCTGTGATTACACTGGACCACTGAGATAATCCAGGATAATCTCCCTATTTTAAAGTCATCTGATGAGCAACCTTAATTCCATCTGCAAACTTAATTCCCCTTTGCCACATAACCTAACATATTCACAGATTCTGGGGATTAGGATGTAAACATCTTTGGGGATGGAGTCATTATTTCTGCATACCACAGTTTTATGAGTATACAGTGCTAAAAAATACCTGCCTAACATATTTAACAGATACATGTTAAAGGATAATACAATTATTAATGATGTTAACTTAAAAAAAAAATCTAAGAATAAAGTCTTATTTATCACTTTTCTTTTATGGCTCATGTTCTTGGAATCTTATCAAAAAAATCTTTCCTAACCTAGGGTCATGAAGATTCTGTCCTGTTTTCCTCTCAAAGTTTAATAGTTTTAGGCCTTATTTTTAGGTCTATGTTCCATTTTTAGTTGAAATTTTTTTTTAAACATATGGATGTCTAATTGTTTTATTAACCTATGTTGGAGAGACAAGCAACAATATAGATAAATCTCAAATGCATTAAGCTGAGTGGAAGAATCCAGAACTAAAAAGCAGCACACTGCATTGGATTTCTATGATATTCTGGGAAAGGAAAAACTATAGGGACAAAAATGAGCTCAGAGATTGCCAGGGACTATGGGAGGGAAATGAGTGAGTGCGAAGGGGCATAAGGTGACTTTTGGGGATGTGGAAATATTCCATATACCTTGGTTGTGGTGGTAGTTATAAGACTGTACACATCTGTTAAAATTCAAACACCCGCGCAACCATAAAGGGCGAATCTTACTCTCTTAATTACTGTTCAATAAATCTGGCTTTAGAAATTATCAAGTAAGGTGAAAAAAGTAAATTTGTTTTACAAGCTCCTAGAGTTTCTGAATTCTAAAAATGTGAGCCTAATTTAAGTTAAAAATAGCAAAAAGACTACAAGTGGAAAACTAGACAGTCAACCGCAAGCTCCCCGGTGGCACCACCACTGCTCCCAAATAAAAGGGGATGAAAGCAATGAAGAGCGGGCACTAGGTGAGGCATCAGCCAGCAGCACAAGCTGGCTTTTCAGGCTAGCGGCCTAAGGATTCCACAAATAAACCGACAAAAAGCTGAGCCTACAAAAAATAATCAATGAAATGATATTTACCTTTGGAGTCAGCATTTGGGAACAGCCTGTTCCATGGCACCTTATTTTTGTGTGGAAGAGAAAGCAAATAGTTTCTAGCTTTTAAATTTATTATACAGTTCAGGTCTTCCTGTGATGGGGATCCAAGTATACCTGTCAGATAAAATAATTAGCTGTTAATTATCAAAACCAAGGCAAACTGACCACACACCATCAGAATAAACTCTTATAATCAATGTCTTCTGACCATTGCTCAATGTTTACCTCTCTTATTAACAAGTTTTTACAGGGTCCTTAACATTTTAAATCAAGCAAGATTAAAAAAAATGAATCATTGCCAGAACTCTTAATTTAATCAAGCAACTCTGAGGTAAACTGAGGCAGGCAGGTGCACTGATAAATTTAGTCCTTAAAGTGCTCGGGAGCCTTACCCAGAATGTGGTTCAGCTGGTCAAGATAATGCTTCCCCGGGAAGATGGGCCTATTGGAGAGCATCTCTGCCAGAATGCAGCCTACGGACCAAATATCAATGGACTTGGTATAGCCCTGCAGTGGAAAGGGAGACAAGACTGAGAACGACATCTGCTGCTATTACACGACACAGTGGGATCCTCCTACCTAATAGCCACACAGCTGATAGGAGTTGTAACTTCTCCTTTGGCTCTACAACCAGAAATAAATGTAGTGAGCACGCAGACACAAATACCAGTTTGGCTTTCTTAGAAGATGTTGAATAACTAGGATTATTAGTTGATTTTATTTCTCTTCTCATAATTGATTAACTTATTATTAAATTATAATTTCTGAAGTACACTTCATTCTATTTTCAAATGATTTGAGGGTTAGAATTCTAAGCTGAAGCTGGAAAAAGCAGTTTTGCTTTAGGACATCTAAGACCCACTTATTCATTATGGAAAACAGCTCAAAAGAAGGGGGCACTGCTACACAGAAAGGATGCTATACCTTTATCCATTCTGCAAATCATTTCTTAAAAAGTCAGGCTGAAAGCCCTTGAAATATGCGAACAGAAGTGTGTGCTGGCTCCATCATATTCTACCAATCCCTATTCTTACCTTCTTTTTCTATTCATTTTTCCAATATAATTTTTTAAAGGAATTCTGAAAAGACATGGAAGAACTACCTAAATCATGTAACAGTGCAAAACAGTTACTTCTCCAAGGAGTATAAACTGAATTTTATGGAAAATGCTAGGTGTAGTGATAAATGGGAGAATGTGGTGAATAGGAGAAAGAAAAAATCCAGTCAAATACTAAAGTTTAGGGAAATAGTGATTTTTTTAAAAAATAAAGCAAAGAATGATGATCAGAAATATAGCTATAATAAACTGGAGTTGAACTTCAAAATTATTCTTCCCAGATCTCCAAAGGAACCAGGGTTCCCTGGAGAAATGACCACTCTTAAGTCTGGGGTGGGGAGAGTACGGTAAGGTAAGCCTGGGGCACCCACTGCCAAAAAACAAGAAGGGCTGAACATTAGTGGGGACATACCGAAAGCGGCTCCCACTGGAGAATCTGGGACGATTTTGACCATCAAATACAGAATGGTAGATATGGGTGATAAGCTACTAAATAAAATAACCATGAATTAATACATAGAACTAAAATACAGGAGTGGTAGTTATAAGATCAACCATGGATGGTGAAACTAGTGGGTGAAACTTTGATGGAGATAACTTACATAGTCTTGAAGCATTTCCCCACAAATTTCTATTAATTATTAACATAACAATTATTACTTAAATGAACCATAATTATCACTGTAATTATGGTGGAGACCTGCAGGACACCAACTTAACCTAAGATCAACATGAGGCCACTGAAACTGACATGAACATAAACAAAGACGTGCCTCCTGATACGATTCACTGAGAACATTGTTTCTATAGTATTCACGCCCAAAATACATGACACAAAACTGAAGTGCATTCTACTAACAGCTGACTTGCACTCTTCAAAAATATCAAGGTCAAGGAAGGCTGAGAACTACTTCAGATTAAAGTAGACTAAAGAAACAATACAATGTGTGTGCCTGGAGTAGAGGGAGAACCGTGCTGAAGGGCATTACTGGGACAATATCCTAAATTTGAATATGAACTATGCATTAGATATTGGGTCAGTGTTAAATTTCCCACTTTTGATTATTGTACTATGGTCATGTTGGAGAACATTCTTCTTCTAAGGCAGGGTTTCCCAACCTCGGCACTACTGGCACCTGGCTTCGTCTTTGTGGTGGGGACTGCCCTGTGCACTGTAGGATGTTTAGCAGCATCTCTGGCCTCTGTCACTTGAAGCTGGCAGGCAGCCCTCCCTCCCAGATGTGACACCAGCACCATCTTCAAACACTGCAGCCACAGTTCTAGGAAGTATGCACTGAAATGCTTAGGGGCAAAAGTGCACATCTACAGCTTATTCTCAAATGACTCAGAGGGAAAACAAATACACGCACGTATGCGGAGAGAACAATAAAGCAAATGAAACAAAGGATACAAAATTGGTTGAGTATGAATCTGTGGTGCAGAGTATACAGGGGTTCTAGCCCACTGTGATCCCAGGGGGTTCCAGAGCCCCTGTGGCCTGGCCTCCCTCGAAGGAGCTAAGAGGTGATGTTACTTACACACCACTACTAAGACGCTGTTTTCCTTTTTGCTCATTCTCTCCTAAGTGCAGAGCCGATTCTTCCAGAAGCTACATGAACTGTTAATATGAAATGTGATGGGATTTGGAAGATCTGCCTAACTCTGAACCAGTATTTTCCAGAATGCTTGCTATTACAAAATCAGGCATGGTAAGTATGAGTGTAAGGCAGAAAAATGAATTTTAATAAAACATTACAAAAAGTCCACTGGTAATTCAGGTTCCACACTGCAATTAAGCTCTCATTTTATTGTGTTTTGGTACAGTATCAAAGAATAGCCACACGTAGCTGCAAAGACTACTGTACTAACATACTCCCTTTTCTAACTACTTATTTGTGTGAAGATTCTTCACTGACTCAAACCAAAATAACATACTGGACAGACTGAGTGCAGAATCAGATGAGAATCTAATAGTATTCTCCCTCTTAAGCCAGATACAGAAGAGATTTATAAAAATGAAAACAATGCCACTCTCCTCACTAAAATGTTTTTGTTATGGATAATAAAACATTTTACAATGAAAAATGTTAACAAGCAGGTTTATTACTGTTATACAAAAATTATTTTTAAGTTTTAATTTCTATACAGTAAATATTGATAGATATAACCCACATAAACAAAACCTGCTTGGAGTCTTTGACAACTTTTAAGAGATTAAAAGGAACTTGCGGACAGAAAGTGTGAGAACCATGGCTTTACAGTTTTCTTGCAATTTTTCTGCAAACTGAAAATTATATCAAGATTAAAAAGATAATGGATAACACATTTAAGAAAAATCATTGAGTCCATAATAATGTTCTAAAAACAATGGTGGGAGAGACAGAGAAAGAGAAAGGGAAAGCTTTTCTTCCCAGAAGAATGCCAGCTAATAAATGTAAAAGGAGTAATAAACTCAGAAAACCACCATTTTGTAAACCCAGTATAGTAACTGAGACAGGGAGGGGCAATCAAGGGGGAAAGCCACTGGAGTAAAGGCTGCTGGGAAACAGGACAGCCACATGTATGACTGCTGAGAACTTGCAGGGCTCCCGTTGGAAAGGTGTGACCTAAACTGCTCATGAGGAACCAGTCCAAGGAGCTCAGAGCGTGAACCATTCTGCAAAAACCCCTCACCTGAACTCTGCAAAGTACTCACCGTCATGAAGGTGGGAAGGGTGGGAGGACTGTTGTAGACGGAGCATGGTGCATAAACCTTGATTAGTTCATGGACTAAAAACAAGAACAGCTGGAAAAGAGCTTTATCGGGGGAGAGGTACAACTGGGATGTCATTAATTAATGCTGTCTTAGTGCTAAGGGTATTTTGATTGGGGGGAAAGAAGCCCCCTCCCTTTCATGGGTACTAGTATGCCTCACAGGGCCTGGGAGGAATCAGTCTATGTTGGTGAGGAGCCAAAGGGTTAGACAAAAGGGAAGAAAGGGAAAGAGGAGCGATGGGAGAGAGGGAGGCAGGCAGACAGGGAGGGAGCAGCAGGATGTTAAGAGCTGGTGAACCCAGGTAAGGGGTAGACGGGTGTTCACTGTACTCTCAATTCTTCTATGGGTTTGAAAATGTTCTAAATAAAGAAAAAAATGAATACATCACTACAAGTAACTTTCTCAAGCTAGAGGTACTGTGAATAAAAAGAATTCAGTTTCCACTATAGCTAACTCTGCAAGGAGGAGGGAGCACTGGGCACCTCAAAGAACAGAGGCTTCCTCCCTGTTTACTTCCCCCCAAGGGTGACTGAGCTGCAGAGGGTAGAGGCACCTGGAGCTGAGACGGAGGCTCCAAAAGCACACTGAGCTCTCCTCGCCATCAGCGGCACTGCACATGTTGCCCCTGGTTTGGAGCGGCTGTCACGCAGCCGGGCCGAAGGAAGAGCCTGCTGTGTGGGATTATTTGTAATAGAGAATTATGATAATCAACACAGCATTTTCTTCTTTGAAACATCTGCTATGCCAAACTCTTCTTTACAACAGAATTTATTTTAACGGGACTTTACTTTTATAACTTCACTGAACAAATGTGTGATATCAAGAATAACTAACTGCTTTAAATAAATTGCATTTTCTTCACAAAGTTAATCTAGTGCTCATCCCAAGCCCTCTACTCATAAAGGATGGAGGAAGAGAGAGCAGACCATGGACTACCAGACCCATTCCTTCTGTTCCCAGCAAGCCACTCGGGATGATTTCTGGCTCCTAGACCTGAATGTCTACCTTCATGGCTTTTTTTCATGTATCTTAATGTTACACTAAGGCAGGTGTTGTTGCAGGAGGTCACTGAGAGGTCAGGTGACCCTCAAACTGGACCTGGGCAATAGGAGGCCTCTTACCCCCTCCCTTGTCCTTGGAATTCATGCCCTGCCCACTGTTCCCACAGGAGAAACCATTTTCAAGGTCTCAGCACTGAGAGAATAAGGTGTTGCTGAAGACTATCTGGATGGTATATGTGACTGAACCCAGTTAAGGCTTCTGTATAAACTTCTAAGACTGGCGGGTGAGTGCAGAGATCTCCTCGTCTTGTGGCCGCCTAAGACAAAGCCTTGTAAATAAATTCCCTTGCTTCTTAACTCTGCCACATGCCAATCTGGAGTGGCCTGCCTCTCTTCAGTCTCTTCTCGCCCTCCATGTACAGCAGGCAGTTTTCTAACTAACAGATGGAAATAAACTCAAGAATCTCATAATCCTGAAATATTAAACATAGAAGTATGTCAGGTCCGCCTAATTCCTCAAGTTTTGTACCTTATTCATATAATATTTGCAAATAATACATACATTAAAAACAATATATCTCAATCTCCATAGCAGCCCCCAGTGCTTGACACCTCTTTCATAAACCTAACCAAGATGTCACACTTCAGTTTTTCTTGCTTTAAAAAAAGTTGTTCCTAATTGTATCTGATGACCAAGGAGCACACCTTGCTGGAAGCGCCTGCTGTGCCCTGAGTGCTCTCTCCACAGTCACTCTGAGGTGCAAAGGAATGCATGTCATTTGGAGGCAGAGCTACTATATAATTTTGAAAGGATCCATAGTAGTTCCTACCCTTTACACACCAATGTTTTCTTCAAATAATACTGTATTTCTCCTGAAGACAAATTCTTCAGTATCAGATAATCTGACCCATACAGAACAGTCCTTGGTCCACAGGCACAGAAATACACACTATGGGGTAACCTCTAACACAAACCCTGCAGTGACTCCAGTATGTGTGAAAATTGCCCTAAGTGGATTTCAGGAGAGCTGACCAGGCAGGGACAAAACCATTTACTGCAGCAGTGACCAGAGACACACCGTCCAACGCCACAACATGTCAGCACTACTCTAGCTGAGGCAGAGGCCAAAGCCCAGGGCCCAGAAGTTTAACACTGAATGGGATATTAAGACACAGGCTGGCCAGACAAGTCAAGCCTCAATCCAGGTGCAAACAGTCTTCCTGAGAGAGAGGCTTACTGCAATAGATGTCCAAAAATTTTTGATTCCTCATTTTTTTTTACTGTAAAATTTGTCCTTACCTTGGAATTCAACATAATTTCTGGAGCCCTGTACCAACGTGTGGCTACGTACTCTGTCAGGAACCCTGTATGATCATGGTCCGGATCGGCAACACGGGCCAAGCCAAAGTCACAGATCTAGGAGGACAAAAATGGGAGATCATAACCAACTTAATATCAAAACAGAATAAAAACTGAAAAAGACAACAGCAACAATAATAATAAGCAGTTGCTACCATTACTAGGTGGCAGATACTTCACTGGGAATTCTACATATTCACTTAATCCTCACAACCCAAAGGCAGCAATGAGTGCATATGTCAGAGATGAAGACGGGCTGATGGTGTCTTCACTAGGATACATTTTAAGAGGCATCCCCATTACCTACTTTTCCCACAGCAATCTCGCTTAGGTCACGTGACAAAAACAGTTCAGAATAAAAACTAAGTCATCAAAAAACGTTCAGGGTCCTTTCTTGGACTTCGTCCTGCCGACACTCCTGGGATCATCATTGCTAGGATCAGCTCTTCAACCTGCACTTGGCTTCTGTGTCTCAGACTTCATATCTCACTACTTAAAAAAAAATTTTTTTAATGAAGGTATCATTAATACACACTTACAAAGGTTTCACATGAAAAACATTGTGGTTACCAGTCACCCATATTATCAAGTCCCCCCCAAACCCCAATGCAGTCACTGATCATCAGTGTAGTAAGATGCCAGAGAGTCACTACTTGTCTTCTCTGAGCTACACTTGTCTTCCCTGTGACTCCTCCCCACACCATGTGTGCCAATCGTAATACCCTTCAATCCCCGTCTCCCTCCCTAACCACCTGCCCTCCCCAACCCATCCCCTTTGGTAACTGTTAGCCCATTCTTGGGTTCTGTGAGTCTGCTGCTATTTTTGTTCCTTCAGTTTTTTCTTTGTTCTTATACTCCACAGATGAATGGAATCATTTGATACTTTTCTCCGCCTGGCTTATTTCGCTGAGCATAATACCCTCTAGCTCTATCCATGTTGTTGCAAATGGTAGGATTTTTTTTCTTATGGCTGAGTAATATTCCACTGTGTATATGTACCACCTCTTCTTTATCCATTCATCTACTGATGGACACTTAGGTTGCTTCCATTTCTTTGCTATTGTAAATAGTGCTGTGATAAACATAGGGGTGCATATGTCTTTTTCAAACTGGGCTCCTGTATTCTTAGGGTAAATTCCTAGGAGTGGAATTCCTGGGTCAAATGGTATTTCTATTTTGAGTTTTTTGAGGAACCTCCATACTGCTTTCCACAATGGTTGAACTACTTTACATTACCACCAGCAGTGTAGGAGGGTTCCCTTTTTTCCGCATCCTCCCCAACATTTGTTGTTGTTTTGCTTTCGATGGTGGTGATCCTTTCTGGTGTGAGGCGATATCTCATCGTGGTTTTAATTTGTGTTTCTCTGATGATTGGTGATGTGGAGCATCTTTTCATGTGCCTATTGGCCATCTGAATTTCTTCTTTGGAGAAGTGTCTGTTCCGATGCTCTGCCCATTTTTTAATTGGGTTATTTGCTTTTTGTTTGTGGAGGTGCAATGTTCCACTATTCTTCTACTTGTTCCATCAATGCAGGTATTTCCAAAGATTCTTCTCACTTTCCTCCCCTTCCATGTACTCAAATCTCCTCCCAAAGCTTTAGAAGATGTTTCATATACTGATGACTAATCTTCTTTTTGAAACATCCAGCTTCTAATTTCTCCCGATTCACAGAAGTACCTGCTGGCCTTTCATCATCTGGCCACAAAAAAACTTTGGTGCTACTCCAAAAATTCCAGTGTATACAAAATGTTACTATAATATACTTAAGTCATATACAACTGCAGAATATTTTAATTCTTGGCCCCTGGGGAACTAACCCAAGAAAAGAGACATGTTAATAAAAACAGGCCAGAATACAGTAGAAGGCAGTCTGGAAAACAGACTAATAATTAGGAGGCTTACTGCTTATTATTCAGCTAAGAAATGATAAGGGCCTGAGCTCAGGTCATAAAAAGAGACAAGGAAAAAGGAATACACGTAAGAGAAATGATAGGACTTAAACAGGTTTGGATAGCTGAGTGTCTCAAAAATTCAGAAAACTCGCATCCACTTTACAAAAGTCTTCCTCTGCCCTTGGACGCCGGCCTCACCATTAGAGCGCCGCCGATCCCACAGGCCCCGCTACTTGCTTCGACCGTAGCATTCCAGCAGTTACTTATTTGCACTGCATCCCACATCTTCTTCAGTTACTCTTCCAAAGGCCATTTTTTGTGTGGGTTCTCTCAGAGTTCGTCTCACGGGTGAGGAATCCTGGGTCCTGTGCTACAGCCGCCATCAACCAGCAGGTCTGTATGGAATGATTCCAGCCCTCACCTTTGTGTCTTCAGCAGAGGTCAAGACACTGGAGCAGAGGCCAGCCGTCACTGCTACATACTGACCAAGCCCCTGACCTAGAAATCTGTGAGCTAATTCACAATGATCGCTGTTTCAGGACACTGCATTTTCAGGCGATCTGTTATAAAGCGAGAAACAACTAATACCGTGGTAGCAGGCAGACAGCTTGTGCGGGACAGGCACTCTGAGGAGGACCCATCTGAAGCGATCGTGGAACACTGAAGAGAGGTCAGAGCAATGCCCTAAAGAAACTAGCTCGGCACTCAAGGGGCAGAGATGGCAATGTGGCTAAGATCTCCCAAAATGGCTCTTGAGTTGGCTGTTTCTGCTTCACAACTGCCATTGCCTTAGACTCAATTTAGTTTGCTGGAATGGGGGAGACTAACTTTTACCTGCCTGCAATCTAATTTGTCCTCTAAATTCCTGCCTAAATGTTCCGTCTAAAATATAAGTCACCTTTTTTGGCTCAAAAATCTTTTAACTTTTCCCCTCTGCCTACTGAAGGAAGCCCAGATTCTTAAAGCATGACTTTCAAGACCATTCTAACACTGCTGCCAAGCCACTTGTCTGATATCATCTCTCCTCCTCATCTGTCCCACATCTGCTATTTACGAGGACTAGACCTGCTTCTCTGACTAGACAGTGCCCTCTCTCCTAGTGCTCTATCCATGCCATCCCTTTACCTAAGCACGCAGCTTGAGAGCTGCCTGTCCTGAGGTTTCCCAGGAATCAATTCCCTGTCGAGAATTGACTGCTCACTCTTTTGAACTCCTTTAAATACTCTGTTAGATGTTTATTTTACTAAGTGCACAACCACAATCCATGAAGCCATGCCTAAGCCCATCTCCCCAGCTGGAATAGAATGTTAAGTCCCTAGAAAAAGGCAATACTTGAATTTTGATTCCTAAGTGTCTTGTATATAGTGAACACTCAACATTTGATGATTAAAATATCTTACTTTAAATGTTTATAGGAAGCACAACAACTGGGGTAGATCACCTGGCAGAGACTCCAGTATTGACCATTTTTCACAATATCTGAATTACGGATAATCTTTTAAAAATACAAATCAGTGTACAGAGTTAGCAAGGTTAAAATCTTACATTAATAATTATATTAATGAAATTACATTTTTCAAAGTAGCAATATTAAGGAAGGAAAAGTTTAAAACTGGAATTAGTAGCATTCCTTCACTAGGAAAGACAATCTATCACGCTGAATGCTGCAACTTATCTATTTCTTTGGAATTAAAACTACATGTGCAGTTGCTCTTCCTCATCCTTTCCCTCCAAGAAATCCAGTCCAAAAAAGTCATCAGGTGGGGCCACGTGACCTAAGCGTCCATGTGGGAAACAGTCCACTGGGGTATGTAACGTCCAAGTGGAGTGAAGAGGGGGCTCCAGACTGGGACGTGGTCTAGGTGTGAGGCGAAGAGAGCATTTGTGTGGAGAGGCAGTGACAGTCCACCCAAGGGATCAGAGTCTAAGCAGATGAGCAGAGGATTCAAGGAATAGAGTGCACACAGCAACTATTTCATTGGAGGTTGCAAAATGGTGATTTTTCTAATTTTATTCCCTCTGTATCTATTGGCTGGCATACTTTTTAAAGAAAAGCCACTGTTGATGAAATGGAGCTATTTGTTTACCCTGACCCAAAGATTCTACTGGAAAGACAGGAAAACTGTTTCATTCTTTCCTTTAAGTTACCAATTTTCAGAATAGTGAGTGAGTTGGTGTTAGAGGAACCGTGTTTTATGATTTGTATTTCCCACACCTAGAACAGGGTACAGAAACATCAGCAGGTTCTCAAAAGATTTCACAGCTCCATTCACGGTCATCAATGCAATTATTTTTTAAAAACAGATCCTCTTAGCACCACAACTTCAAAGACTAAATTCACATGGCATTAACCAAAAAACTGCCAAGGCTCCAAAATAAAAAAGCTATAATATTCATTACAGTTCTTTTCGAAAAAAGATAGACAACTGGAATATAGGACAAGAAACACAAGATGACCTACAGCACTGCTACCTGACTACTTTTTGGGTTGTGTAAATTCCAATTTTCATAAAACAAAGGAAGCCCCACAGACAGGTATCATTTCCTATCTCCCAGAGTTCCTTTTGAGGCACACCCAAAACCACAAATGCTGTGACCTTAGCATCCCTATCCCTACTGGGACTCCTGTGGGCTCCAGCTAGCAGAGAGCAAGGACACAGGCTGCAGAGACTACCTTGCCCCGACAGCTCCATTAAAAATATGCCAGCAGAAGTGTTTACCAAAGGGGAGGGGTGGGGAGGGATGGAGAAGGGGACTGAGGGAGTATTATGATTGGCACACATGGTGTGTGGGGGATCATGGGGAAGACAGTGTTGCACAGAGCAGGCAAATAGTGACTCTGTGGCATCTTACGACACTGATGGGCAGTGACTGCAATGGAGTATGGGGGGCACGATAATATGGGTCAATGTAATAACCACATTGTTTTGTCATGTGAAACCTTCATAGCAGTGTATATCAATAATACCTTAATAAAAAAGAATATGCTACCAGAATCTCCAAATAGGGTCTTCAACCCTTGTGTTTCTGTGGTCCTGAGAAACAAAGAGGAAATCTATAAGAGGGTGCCAGAAGGGTCCTAAGAAGTAAACGCCTGCTGGATCTCAGGCCTTCAGGTAACAAGTGCAAAGCATGTGTATGGAAGCTAAAAAGAAAGCCCTTTGCTGTTGACCTCGACTGTACCAGAGTCAAAAGTTAAAGGTCTAGGAAACAGTATAACTGATATCCTGAGGGTTCAAGAGTAGGAAACACTTCATTAACACAGAAGCCAATGGAAAAAGAAGAAATTACTTAACTGCCTACTTGAAAATTTCAAAGGACCAGATAACATGAGTTAAGGCCACAGATTAGAAACTTTCTAGGCACAGGGGCTAGTGGGACGGGCACTGTGGTCACCTCAAGGTACTGAGGATGTGATGGGTGTCCTGTGATCCAGAGCTCAAATGGACAGACTCTCCTCCCCACTGGTGCTCTCTCAGCTCTCATATACGCACACACCTGCGCTGCCCCACCACCCTGACCTGTCTTTCAGACGCGCTCAGAACAAATGAGTGCCTTAGTGACAGACTAGACTCATCTTTGGAATGAGATTCTCTCCTGAATATTTATATCCATGCCTATGATGCACACACCATATATACATTTTTTAAATGAAGGCGAACTGTACTGCTGTATCTAAAACAACCTATTGTGTTTCTGAGTCTGCATGTTAAACTGGTTCTGACAACAATGCCTGGATTGTGCAGACAGTGAAGTGCACACACATATAAGTGTGGGTGTGAATGTTGGGGAACAGTGAAAGTGCCCCAGGTAAAGACAAGCCCCCAGTGAAGAGATAACAAAGTAGTCTGGTTCTGTTTGTTTTCTTCTTAAGGATGAGCATTTCCAAGTGAAAGTCATTCATCCTTTTCCAGAAATATCAACTGATTTAAAATATTTGATTTAAATAAATTGATTAAAATATTAGGAAATGACTCTCCAAAACCAAAGCAATCTGCCATTACAGGGTTGTGACAAGAAATGGAGAGTAAAAAGAAAATCAGGCAACAAAAATGTTCATTGTTACCTCTTCGAGAAAAATCACTAATTGCCAATGAGTGTGGACATTCCTATAAGCAGTCTCATTTCTTTTGTGCCCACCTGGCTTAGCTGCGCAAATTCATGGGGAAGCATCTGCTGCCATTCCCACGTGAAAGGTTCATGAATCCAACTCAGAAGGATCCTGAGGTGGGCAGAGTTAACCCAACCATTTGTGATACCAGAAGCTGTTCTGCACATCATCTCACAGGATGTTGGTCACTCTGTTTTTTAAAGACCCACTGACAAGCAAATAAGCTGACCACCTAATAACAGAGCCTTTTTCAGAGAGTTCCAGAAGTTCTCCACAATCTACTTGCAGGTACCATCTCCAGTTGAGTGTGCTCACCCAAAGCTACAGCCAGAGAGCAGAGGCCTTGGCGTGTGTGCATTGGCTGCTTGCCTCTCACTTTTATTTCTGTTGCTCCTGTCATCTCTGACAGACACCCTGTGCACAGCGCAGCCACTCCCCCTACTGACAGCCCTACCCCAGCCCAGAGGGCCGGCATGGCTACCACCTTCTCCCTGGCGCCTCTCAGCCCCATCCAGAGCTGACCCACCCGTCTCCTCTGCATTTGTACATCATTCTTTTCAGTATCTCAATTATGACTGACATTACGATGATCTGTTGCTTATCAGATTTCTGATCTATCATTTTCAGATTTCAAGGGCAGGTGTCCATTTCCCTTTGCCAGGTAAGCTTTATAGGGCTTCTCACTGAAATCCAAGCAACGATCATTGCTATACATCCATGAACATTTTGACAACAGCTTTACTGAGCTGTAATTCATTTACCATACAATTCACCCGTTTAAAGTGTACCATTAAATGGTCTTCGGCAATGTAATCACAGGGTTATACAGCCATTACTACCATCCAGTTGTAGAAAGGTTTTTATAACTGCATAAAGAAACCTCTCTCTCCATTCCTCCTCAATCCCACTAGCCTTGGGGAACCACTAAGCTTTGTATTGTTATAGGTATGTCTATTCCAGACATCTCATATGAACAGAACCATACACCATATGTAGTCTTGGTTGTGATTGGCTTCTTTCACTTACACAATAATGGCTCCAAGATCCACCCATGTGGTAGAATGTATCACTACTTCTACATTTTTATCACACTGTATGGATCTACCATATTTTATTTATCCATCATTATTTGGACATTTAAGCTGTTCCACTTTTAGGCTATTATGCTACTATGAATATCTGTGTACTAGGCTTTGTGTGGGCCTGTGCTTGATTTCACTCAGGTAAATGCCTAGGAGTGGAATCATGCTCATCAACACTTATCGTCTGACTTTTCGAGAGCCATCCTAGTATGTATGATGTGCTTTCTCACTGTGGTTTTGATTTGAATTTTCCTACTGACTAATGACATTAACCTGGGTACTTACTGGCCATCTGTATATCTTCTTTACAGAGATGACTATTTAGATACTTTGAGCATTTTTAAGTTGGCCTATTATCTCTAATTGTTGGATTTAAAATTTTTCATGTATTCTAGACTATATACTCTAGATATTCTAGGGCTTTTCATACTCATTTTTCATACATTTTCGAGTTGTAAGAGATTTCATGTTATTTTCATATATTAACATATATTTTTATATTTTATTTATATTTTATCAGATATATGATATACAAATATTTTCTCTCATTCTGTGGGTTGTCTTCACTTTTTTGATGGTTTACTTCGTAACTTAACTTTCTAATCTTGATGAAATACAAATTTTCTTCTAATATATTTTTATATTTTATTTATATTTTATCAGATATATGATATACAAATATTTTCTCTCATTCTGTGGGTTGTCTTCACTTTTTTGATGGTTTACTTCGTAACTTAACTTTCTAATCTTGATGAAATACAAATTTTCTTCTTTTGTTGCTTATGCTTTAGGTGTCACGTCAAAGAGACTCTGCCTAACTCTAATTACAAAGATTTACTCCTATGTTTTCTAAGCGTATTGTAGTTTAGCTTTTAAATTTGGGTTTTTGAATCATTCTGAGTTTATTTTTATATTTTATACATGGTTATGAGGTAGAGGCCCAATTGCACTCTTTTGCTTGTGGCTATCCAGCTGTCTCAGCCCCATTTGTCGAAAATACTATTTTTCCCCCTATGAATCATTTTGGCTCTCCTTATCAAAAACAGGTTGATCACAAACAACTATTTATTGACTTTCAACTTTATTCCATTTATCTATATTCTATTTTTATGTCAGAATCACACAATCCTGATTACCTATAGCTTTGTTGTACATTTTGAAATCAGAAAGTGTAAGTCTTCCAACTTTTGTTCTTTCATAAGATTGAACTATCCTGTTCTGGCTATTCTGCGTTTCTTGAATTCCCATATGCATTTTGGGATCAACCTGTCCCCTTGTACAAAAAAGCCACCTGGGGCTTTGGTAGGGATTGCACTGAATCTATAGATCAATTTGGGAAGCACTGCCATCTTAACAAAATTAAGTGTTGTCCTGAATATGGGATGTCTTTCCATTTATGTAGGTCTTTTTGAATTCACATGTATTTTTGTCATACTCAGTCTACATCCTTTCATACATAAGATTTGTTGATCTCCCTCTTTATTTAGCTCTGCTACCTGCTAAAATAGGTATTATATGTAAATGATGTCCATTTTCAAGAGAACTCTGAGAGCTGTAAAGGATCTAGGGTTTTCCTATTTATTGGGAATGCCTTAAAAAAGTATTAGTCATTGAGGTTAAATCTTCTGCTTTCTGAATGTTCTTTGTATAAAACTTATTGAAGAAAAAGTCACCAATGAAATAGATATTTTAATTTACATATGCATACGATCTTTTATACACACATACACATGTATGTATGTATGTATGTATGTATAAAAGTACACATGTATATGAGAGCACAGAAAAACTGGAAGAAAATACTCCAGGTTGTTACAGTGTTTATCTCTGGAGAGAAAGGAGCAATGGATGGGGAAGAAGAGGACTAGTACTCTTTAGCTGTACTTTTCTTTTTGTCATAAAAATGTTTTCATGTTTCTGGTATAAAATTTAAAAATATGAATAACAATAAATGTAAATATGCCCCAAGTTTTCTCAATATACATTACCCTAAGAGTAAATAACGTAGCTGACCTTGAGATCGCAGGTGGTGTTGAGCAGCAGGTTAGAAGGTTTGAGGTCACGGTGTAGTACGTTAGCTGAATGGATATATTTTAACCCTCTGAGGATCTGGTAAAGAAAATAGCAGATGTGGTCATTGCTGAGGTGCTGCGTCTTCAAGAGCTTGTAGAGATCTGTTTCCATGAGGTCCTGTACTATATAGCTATTTGGACAGGTTAAGGTAACACACCGAAAAGCTGGTTACACTTAGCAAAGGACTGAAAGCAAAGTGAACACTCTTCCCAGAAGGTCCATTATTATAGCACAAGGCCCACAAGGGAAATCAGAAACTAATGAAAACTTGTTATACCTTTATAGAAGGAATCTGATAGTTCACTCCTTTTTAGGTTCTGTGAGACAAGAAGCATTACACCTTCCTGATATGACCAACTATGGGCTTGAAACAGGCAGTTATGGAAATACTGGCCAATCTTGAAGTCCCAGCCTCCCTGCTCCGCAAGTTGTCCACTGTCAACACACTCCTGCCACGGACTGTAAGGTAGGGCTGGGAGAGGGTGGTGGCCAGAGAGCATCACACACTCCTTCCTCTCTTAGGCCCAGTAACAACTTGAAATGTCACCATTCTTTTATCTCCCATCAGGACCCTCTCCTTCTCCTCAAAAATCGAGTATTAAACTTTTGGAAATACAGGCCTAAAACACACTGCTAATAAATTCAATCCTCAGTCTACTGGCTTGACTCTCCAATTAATGTTAAGATCCTAAACATTAGACAAGGGGAAGTCAAGTTTTGGGACATGTGCTAGTTTCCCTTTTGCTTTCTTGCCTATCCATATAACTAAACATCTAGAATTTTAGCTATAGCTAACTTCTTTCTTACAGAAATTAAATTATAAAACCCTTTAGCTTTTAACTCACCATAATATTATTTCATTAGCAGTGTTTCTGCATTTATTTCTGTGCAAGTATTATTACAGATCTTCTGCAGATTCATGCTAGCTGAAACACAGTATGGGATTCAAAGGAAGAACGACTTTAAAGTTTGTCATCTGAAAGACTTGATTTTTATGGCAAAAGGTAAAGCAGGACAACAGGTGGTAGCAGCATGAGGTATTTCACTTAAATTATCACTACAACTTGTTAACAGAACTGTTTAAAACTGGAAAGAGCTGCCCACAGACAGTGAGCTGCCTCTCCCCAGAGGAGCAGAATGCAAACCGGGCAAACTGGCGGGACTGCTGTGCTGGCTGGAACAGTAACTTTCTCCTCTTGGCAGACTCTTTCTTATTTTATTTTACTTTATTTTTATTTTGGTATCATTAATGTACAATTACTTGAGCAACATTATAGTTACTAGACTCCCCCAATTATCAAGTCCCCACCACATACCCCATTACAGTCACTGTCCATCAGCACAGTAAGACTGGCGGACTCTTTCTTAAGCTTCTGTCTTTCAAATATAGTCTTTCCCAGGCAACAGCCTCTGGACTTGCTTAGTCCAAATTTCTAAATGCTAGTCACGATTAATGACATAATTTCAGAGCTGAGCCAGCCTTAAAGGTCATGGGGCTACTACCTTAATTTTACAGATAAGAAAACTGAGACCTAGAGGTAAGTGACATTGCCTCAGAACAGGACTGGATTTGACAGGGTGATATCGAGGGCACCCTCTTTCTTAGTCTACTGCTCTTTCCTTTTCACCATTGTAAGGAACCCTAATTGAATGGGGGGAATAAAAAAGACTAGAAATGGTATCAACATTTTCTATTACTACACTTAAAAGGAAATCTTTACTGAAACTGACAGGGAACACACTGGCTTTGCCAAAAAGACATCAAAAATAGTTACTGACAACCGATAAAATGAATCAGAGAAAAAAACCCTTAAATTATGCAAGTATTACAGTAAATGGCAAGCAGATTACAATTTCTCTTTAAATGTGCTTTCTATACTTTTTCTTAATTCTGGTAAATTGAGGACATTTCAAGTTCCATTTATTCCACAAGGTGACCCAAGCAGCAGAGTCAGCTGTCTGAAAAGGATACACATCTTTCATTTGCTCAATGGTTGGTGCTCGAATAATATCGTTAATTCCAATGATGTTCTCATGTCTGAAACGCAGTAAGATTTTTATCTCCCTCAGGGTTCTCTGGCAGTAGGTCTGGTGTTCAAAAGGACTGATTTTCTTGATAGCTACTCGAACTTTGTTGACGTTATCATATGCAGAACTAAAAAAATTTAAAAAGGGGCAGAGGAGAGAAGGCATTAAAAACTGTTTTCAGAACATTTTGGCACAAAGAATGCAAATGGTAAAGTATTAAATGTTTAGTACTCTGGGTAAATACTCCTTTCATACACATGAAGACAGTATGTGTATTATCTACAAAAAGGACTCAAGCTAGGGAGGATGCAGCTGGTACAATGCAGCACATACTGAATTTCAAACTTAACAGACAGCCCAGACCTGGTAAATGTGTGGATGCCCATTTTCATAAACCCAGAAACATGGGTTTCCACAACACACACACACACACACACACAAAAATCATTTTCCCACTATTTTTAACACCAACTTCATTTGGGTGAGAGTGATCATTTCTGTCTCCAAAATAACTTTCTACTATTGTTATCAGATTCCTCTGATTCAGCAGAAACATTCAAATGACCATCAACCACATCTTCGCCCCTAACAAAAATGGACCAAAGAGAATGCCTTGTTTGTATTAACTTTGTCTTATGTAAAATGACACAACTATTTCTTTTTTCAAGAAATTTAACCAATATATTTGGGCAGTCTTATTAAGAAAACCTATAATGTAGTCTTGAAAAAATACTTTCATTGGTGTTACACAGGGCCCAATTTTCTGTAAAGTCCTTAAGGTCTGACTTTAAAGAATTTCAAGCAGAAGCAGTAATAATTATACCTTCAACTTTGTGATGAATTTAATTTTGAATATTACTAGTATCTTTATGAACAGTATTCTACTGAATCTTTTCATAAGTATCAACATCTGGGCTATTGACTGAAGCGATGAAATAACACTGACAGCCAATAAAATATTGCTTCTTGTTTCCTAAGTGCTAGAAATATACAAGTACAATGTTTATTCTCAAGACTATGCTTCTATAATGGTTATTTGTCATTTTACCTAACCTGAAAATTATCGATGCATTTGTTTGATTTCATTACAAAACTGGTGTAGGAGAGACCTTGTCTTACTCAGCTTCAATTCTCCCACAAGACCAGTAATACAATGCACTCAGGTACCCTCAATACTGTGAAATGAAATGTACTTCCTTAAATAAAAGAATCATTACTCAAATCTTATTTTGCTCAGTTTGCTGCAAAAAGGCCTAAAACACTGATTTTCAGGTAGGTAGGCAAAGTGATGTCATTCAAGCAAGTTTACTCAATATTGGGAATAAATATTTTTAGAAATTAAAACTGTTTTTGAGTAATTCAAATCATTAAGAGCATGAGTTCAACAAGAAAGTCATGTTAAAATAGCTAATACTGGTTTAAATTCAACATAAATTTGTAGTTTTACTGAAACATGGCGGTCAAACATGCCCATAAATTTGTTTTCCAACAAGATTGTTGGTGAAGGGGCTTATGGTCAGTGTGCCCCAGCAATTTTATCAACACTCAGTGATGAAACAAATAACCAACTGACTGACTTTAGCGAGAAGGCAGTATAGATCCTCCTCACTGGTTCCCTCTTGAAGAGAAGGGATGGCCCTGTCCATGCCGCTGGGTCTGCTATTGTCTGCTCTGCCCTCCCTCCATTTTGCTGCCTTTTAGGTTTACAGAATCTGGTACAGAAGTTATTACACAGAGTGCACATTCTTCCAAAACTCTATTTGTTCATTTCTCCTTGGACTTCTCAGTTTTGTTTTATATATTTTATTGTTGATACTTGGCAAATATTTTATTGGTATACCTTCTACCATGGACTTTTTGGTGTCTCCTAATACTTTTGCTTTGCAATCTCCTTGGCATTGCCAACCCCCTTTTCTTTTTTTTGTTCTAGGAATTTAATCTTTGCTCATTTCCCAACCAACCCCCAACTACTGCCATGCTACAGCTTTTGCTTTAAATGTGTCTCCTATAAACAAGCAACTTATGGTTGCAATTGGGGATCCTAATTAAATCTGTGACTGTAACAGTCTTTGGATGGGCTATTTTGAATATTCATTTTTCTTTTAACTGATAAACTTGCTTGCTCTTTTCAAAAACATAAATGCAAAGTTGAATAACTTATTCAAGGTTGAAGAAATGAACAACTTCCTAACTCATCCCTATAAGACAAATAATTTTTAAAAATAAACTAATAATGATAATGATGAAAAAGAACTAAAATCCAAAGATTTATCTCTTATAAGCACAAACTTGAAAATAAATTAAAAAAATAACAACATGTTAAAATAATCCATTATGTCCAAGTAATATTTAATCTTAGGAAGTCAAGAATTATTCAATAAATTTAAAAATAAGATATCACATCAAATACACATTTCTCCAAAGACATACAAAATGGCCAACAAGCATATGAAAAGTGCTAATCATTAGAGAAACACAAAACAAAACCACAATATATCACCTTACACTCATCAGGGTTGCCACTATCAAAAAAATAAAAATAACAAGTGTTGGAGAAGATGTGGAGAAATTGGCAAACCATTAAGAATGTAAAATGACGCAGTTACCATATAAAACAGCATGGAAGTTCTGCAAAAAATTAAACATAGAATTACCATATGATTAAGCAATCCCACTTCTGAGTATATGGCCAAAAGAACTCAAACTAAGACCTCAGAGTGCACACCCATGTTTACTGCAGTATTGACAAGATAAGTAGAGAAAGCAACCCAAATGTTCAGATGGATGAATGGATAAAGAAAATGTGGTATATACATACAATGGAATGTTACTCAGCCTTAAAAAAGGAAGGAAATTGTTTAACATGCTACAACATGGATGAATCTTGAGGACATTAACTGAAAAAAGCCAGTAACAAAAAGACAAATACTGTGTAATTCCACTCATAGGTGGTATCTAAAGTTATCAAGCTCATAGAATTATAAAATAGAATGGTGGTTACCAAAGGCTAGGGAGAGGGGGAAATGCGGAAAATGGTGTACATGGGTATAGAGTTTTAGTTTTGCAAAATGAGAAAGTTCTACAGATCTGTTGCAAAATAATGTGAATATACTTAACACTACCTAACCATACACTTAAAAATGGTTAAAATGCTAAGTTTTACATTATGTTTTGTATTACAGTTAAACTGATTTAATTTTCAAAAGGGTGCAACAACTATGGAAAACAGTATGGAGGCTCCTAAAAATCTTTTTTAAATACAACTATCATACAATCCAGCAATTCCACACTGGGTATTTAATCTAAAGAAAACCAAAACATTAATTCAAAAAAATAACATGTACCCCTATGTTTATTGCAACCTTGTTTACATTAGCCAAGATAAGGAAATAACGTAAGTGTCCATCAACAGATGAATAGATGCTATACAAGCTCACACATAAACACACTGTAATACTAGTCAGCCACTAGAAAGAATGAAATCTTATAATTTGTGACATGAATGGACTTTGAGGGTATTATGCTAAGTGAAATAAGTTAGACAAAGACAAATACTGCATTATTCCAATTATAAATGAAATTTCAAACACAAAGTAAACAAAACAAAAACCCAGACCAAGAGAGAAAGAGAACAGAGTGGTAGCAGTCAGAAGGAAAAGAGGTTAGGAGGGGTTGCTGAAATGGGTGAAGGGGATCAAGAGATACAAACGTCCAGTTATAAAATAAGAAAGTTATGGGGAATATAGGCTTAAAGATGGTGGTGTGAGAGATGAGACAGAAACCTTCTTCCAAAACCACATGTAATACAAAAATACAACAAAACAACTAATCCTGAAGGAGTGACTGGCAAGAAGACTGCCACAGACTGCCTATATCTGGGGAAAAGGTAAAGTAGCAAAACCATGATCCTGCAGGACCCAAGCCCTCCCCCCACCTCAGCTAACAGGCCAGAGGAAGAGAAACAGAGCTGGGAGGGGGTAGAAGCCTAGAACTGCTGAACACCCAGTTATGGAGATCTGATCCAGGAGCAGAAATCGACATTACATGATGCTGTGGAGATTAGTGGGGTTGGAAGGCCCAGACAGGCGGAATACTCGGAGAGACTGAGATTCCAGCTGCTTGTGGAGAACAGGTACCCAGACCCAGCCACTCTGGGACAAAAGAAATGTGGGCACTTTGAAAGCTTCCCAACAGTGAGAGGGCTGCTAAAGGGGCAAGGATTACACAGAGCTTGCTGCTCAGGAGAAAGGACAGGTGGACAAAATCATCCCAGCACACTCATCCTGGCAGGTTGGGAACTTTCAGGAGCTTCAGATGCTCCATCCCCCTGGCTGGAATGCAGTGCTGAGGTCCCACTGTGATACGCAGCCTGCTACTCCTTGCTACAGCTGGCACTGGTTCACAGACCTGCTGCTCCCACCATCCCACTAGGCCAGCTGGAGGGCGACACCACCTATGGCGGCTACAAGGACGTAACACAGAGACTCCTCCGTGCATGCTCAGCCCGCTGGCCCTGGCACTGGAGACAGGCACTGCAGCCAGGAAGCAGGTAAGAGCTCTTTCCTCCTGACAGGCATCAGGGCCGCTCATCTGAGGCCCCCACCACTTCTCCAGGTGCTGGGCAGCTCCAGAGCGTAGAGCTTCTGGGTATGAGAGGGTGCCACCTACACACAGTTACTGTTCAATAGTAATCATTAGAAATATGAAACAGCAAATGAATCTTGTACAAACCAAAATCCCTCAAACACCAGAAATAGGGTTAAGTGCAAGTGAAATCACCAGTCCTCCTGATAAAGATTTCAAAATAAAAATCATAAACATGCTCACAGAGCTACTAAAAATATTTAAGACATCAGGGAGAACTTCAAGAAAGAGAAACTTTGAGAAAATACAGTATCTGAAATGAAACATACAATGCAAGGATTTAAAAGCAGACTAGATGAAGTAGATGAGATGGTAAATGAAATAGAAATTACAGAACAGGAATACAAAGAAGCTGAGGCACAGAGACAAAGAAGGATCTCTAGGAATGAAAAAATATTAAAAGAAGTGCGTGACCAATCCAAACAGAACAATACTCGCATTATAGGGGTACCAGAACAAGAAGAGAGAAAAAGGGATAGAAAG